TTTTACTATGTCACTCATAAGCTATTTTAAGCATCACATGTGTTATTCTATGAGTCTGCAGAAACAGGACATTAACAAATCCAAGTTTTATTCTTCACAATAAAAACTTTGATGTGAAATAAATAATGGCTTTGTTGCTCATTCTCAAATTTCAGAAGAGTAGGTGGTGATTTTCATTTTATAAGATGACATGTAAACTTATGAATGATGGCTGGAAAAGGAGGACCAAGAAATTGTATTCCTCTAACTCACAAAAAGAAATCCTGACTTGAGAAATCCCATAAAATATCTTTTCAGGGGACCAGCAGTTAGTGTAATGGCTGTGTCTCTGAACTCCCATGTAGTCAACTGCAGTTCGAGTCCTGAACCCAGTGGCTTAAACTCACACTGGGCACGTGTGCATGCATGCCCAAATTCCGAGAGGAGAATGAAGGAGATGGAATTTTGCTGTGGCCATCCCCCTGGGGGGTAATTTCTCACTTTTTGTCTTTCTATCTTTCTCTGTCTTTCTGGCGAGCGCACACGCTCTATAGCAAAAACCTCTCCAAAAAACAAACAAAAAAATCTTTTCAGAACTTACTCAACATTCATGAGGGAAGAACACATTATAGAGCTGTCTTGTTAAATAATTTCTTTACTTTTTCTTCCTTTTTTTTTTTCCTTTTATTTTCTTTTTCTTCTTTTCTCTTTTTTTGTTTTGTTTTGTTCTGTTTTGCCTGTCGAATGTGCTGGGGGGGCAGTAGATGGCATAGCAGTTATGTGGCTGGACTTCCACTTCACTGATCATGGTTTCAGTCCTGGACACGGTGGTTTGAAAATCACGCTGGATACATGTATGTGTGTGCCCAAGATCCCTGGACGATAATGGAGGAGAAGGGATTGCTGTGTGGCCATCCCTCCTGGGGGATAATATCTCTTTCCCACTCCACTCTCTCTCTGGGGAGTGCATGTGCCTTAAGGCAAAAATCCCTAAAAAAATTTTGCCAGACGGTATGTGCACTTACTAGAAAGAGTCAGAAAAAGAAAGATAGAGAAAGAAAGAAGGTAAGAAAGCACCCCATAGAGGATGGTCACACTGCATCCCTTCTCCATTTCTCCTTTTGGGATTTTTAGCATGCACCCAGGCATGGTCAGCATGTTTCTTGAGTAGGCATTCCAGAACTGAAATTGTGTTTGTGGGATCCAGCCAAGTGGGATTCAGCTGCCTTACCCACCACATAACTAGATGACCCCAAAATAATTTGTATTAGGGGGAAAAAAAAAAAGACTGCAACATCCATCTGAGCACAAAGCTAATGTGTCTTGTCTCCTGCATTGAAGTCTCTCTTTGACAGTCTCTGATGAATAATCGCCTATCGTAAATACCACAGCGGTGCAGCAGTAAAGGTCTCTCTCTCCATGCTGTGTGCTCACGTACTGAGAGACAGTGGATGAAGCTGTGAGCTGAGTGTGGACTATAGTGTGAAGACCCTACTGGAGGTGCTTTTCTCTTGCTCTCTTTTTTTCTCTCTCAGGGAAGTAATAAATAAACTTTTTAAAATGCCATAATGTTTTATAGAAAAGAGCTTCAATGGTCAGTAGAAAAATAGGCCTGTG